AAAGATCAATTTCCATTTAATATATTGTTATGCAATTAGCAGCCAAATATTAGAAATAGAAAGTATTTAATCCACATCAATTCTTTTTTTTTACAATCAAAAAAATCATTACAAATGTCATCCAAATACGCCAATAACGCCTGTATTCGATGCAGTATTAAACAAATCAAATGCGACAATAAAGAGGTTTGCAATAATTGCGACAAGACAAAAAATGATTGTCATCGAAACAAGGCTATAAAACAAGAAATCAAGAAGCAACAAAAACTGAATAGATCATACAAATATTCTTATAAACAATGTAAACTCTTCAATATTTGCACATTTAATATTTACTAAATTTTTAAAAAAATTAAAATATTTTTATTTGTTTTTGATTTCACAAGTTGAAGCATGTTACCAACAAATATTACAAGCTAAAACTACTGGTGAGCGGGGAATGTTAAATCGATTATTAAATCTTAGTAAACAAGGTAGGTAAAGTTTTCAATATTTGCACATTTAATATTTATTAAAAAAATCAATTCGTTTAATTTTTTGCTTTTGATTTCACAGTTGAAGCACTTCATCAACAAATTTTACAAACCATAAATACTATTCATGAACAAAGGATGTCAAAATATTATTTTAACAATCTTGGTTTTAATAATAATAATCAAGGTAAACAAAGTATTCAATATTTGCACATTTAGTTATTTACAAAATTTCTTAAATTTTTTTTTTGTTTTTGATTTCACAAGTTGAAGCACTTCGCCAACAAATTTTACATACTATCAAGGAGCAAATAATGACAAGTCCGTTATTAAATCACGATCTTGATTTTGGTAATAATAACCAAGGTGAACAAAGCCTTCAATATTTGCGCATTTAGTATTTACAAAATTTTAATTCGCTTTGGCTTACAAGTTGAAGCACTTCATCAACAAACAAATCTTACAAACCATAGAATAAGGAATTATTAAATTTTAGTTTTAATAATAATAATAATAATAAATATATATGTTGAATTCATTTGTCAATTAAGAAAATTTTTTATATATAGTATTAAATAGATAGTAATAATATACAATTAATAAGTTAAATAAAAAATGAAGTTATGAACCCAAAATGTGTTAATTCAAAATGACAATCAAAAACGTGTTAATTCAAAAATAACAATGAACTCAAAAACGTGTTAATTCAAAATAATAACAAATGGAAGTATATATTTTATTTGATAACTTTTTTGGATTTTAAAGTTGCACGAAATTTCCGGAGTTTTTTGCATAATATTAATATATATCTATACCACAAGGAATATATAACTGGTGAAATCTTAATAATGACATACAAGGCTCTTTGTATATCTTCATTCAAAAAATTTTACTATACTTATACCTGGTTTTTTGCTAAAAATCTCCCAAACAAAAAAAAAAAATAATGATAAAATAAATTCATTTATTATTCTTAGGATATATAAAAATGTGTACCGTACTAAAAAAAATTCCAAATTCAACATGGCAATTCATATTCCCAAACTAAAAAGTATGAATTCGTCAAATAAGAGAATGGTTATCGATGTCCCGCATAATCTCATTGGAATGTCTACTTGAAAAGGTAGTCAGTTGTACCGAGTTCTCTAATTGAACAAAGCATCAAATCCAATAAATATTTTTATATTGTTAATTGATTATATGCATAGTATATAGTGGTAGAAATTGCTTTTTTCACATTATGAATAGCATATTTATCAGTGTCTCCGTAAACATCACCTTTCAGTCACGAGCAAAATGCCTACTGGCTACATTATTATTATTATTTGAAGATATATTACGATTATTATTATTATTGAATTACCATTTGTTCTCTCTTTCCAACTACTATTAATAGACTTATTATTAATTTTTCTTTTAATTTTTGTTCAATTAAACTTTCTACACTTTATTATTGTTGATAAATATCTTGCCATCATAAAATGCGCAGATAATTCCATACCTCTAGAAAAAGTTTTTCATCTATTAATTGTTCCATTTGATATTGTTGGTAAATAGGTGGATGATTGAACAGGTACAAGGAACTAAGATCTTAAATGACGAATTTTATCAGATTATATATTTGTATTCTAATATCTATTTACTAGTTTAGCACCATTTTCAATATGTAACGTGTATAAATGGTGAATGGTCAATTGATGATATGTGAAGGTGATGGTTTTTATCTTTTGAGTTAATTTCTAATTTGGGACCTCGTCTATAATTTGGAATGTCCAAGTGCAATCAGGAAACCTTTTCTGACATGAATTATTACACTACTTACGTAGGTTTACATCAAGCTTTGTAATAAATTTTTATGGAAAAATTATTACATTCATGTTTATTTTATTACAACATCATATAATAAAACTTATGGTGAATGCAATATTAGCAAGGAAAATTTCCTGTCTACAAAATAGTTAAGTTTATGTTGGGCCTCATAATACCATACAAAAATTTATGGAAATTCAGTGTAAATATTACAATATAGTAAAACCTACGAACATAATATTACAGTGGAAAAACTTCCTGGCGTTGTCGTTCAATAACAGAACATTTAAAATACTATGTAATAGACATATCGTTGCCAGTTGTAGTTTTAAACAAATAATATCTATTCTCTTTATCTTATACATATTTGCTAATCTCAAATATCCGCCAATGAGGCATTTTATTAAGAGAATCAGATAATTAATTAGGCTGTTCTTCCCAATAATCTTGCAATGAAGGTAATCCTTTATGTATAGTTGATTATCAGTGATCGACAAAGACATTTCACGCAACATCATTAACTTCGCACTACCAATTAATTATACATGTAGCTTAAATCAGAGTTAAATTATTATTACTTACTTACTTGAAACGTGCTGCAAAAAAACCAAATATTATGTCACAGTGTGGTCAAATTTTGGTTATTTTTTATTTTTAAAAAATAAAACTACAAATAAGTCGTACCTCCATATAAGAAACCCTGTCGGGAACATAATGAATTTTTCTAAAAAAAGTTCTTACAAAGATGTGTTTATATGATGTTCTTATATGGAGGGTTCTTATATGGAGGTATGACTGTACTTAACAAAATACATACCTTCACAAATAAAGTTTTCTTGTTTGTCAATTGGACTATTCTTCAGTCTTTTGCTATATCACCAAACCTATAAAAAACCAGCTCTACAAAAATTAATGAAACAATAGAGCCTAAAAAGAATAAGCCAGTTGATAAAAAAATTTTTTTTGCTTACAAGAAATTGTCATCTATGGAAAGATTTCAAATAATTGTTTGATAAAAAGGCCAAGTTTTCATTCTACAAAGTGGTTATTTTATTGAAGGAAAAAGAGCTGCCGTTTCTATCAACGAAAAAACGAACCCTAAAAGGAAAGAAAAAAGAAAAAATGGCGAAGGATGGTATGTATGGATGAAGAAGAAAAGAATATTAACTATTATATATATGTTTATTACATGGCGTTTGCAAGAGGATAATGATACAAAGCACCATCATGCGTTACAAAAACCTTCATTTCTGAAAAAAGAATTTGTATAATAGGCTGGACATCCAACAGCCCTACCTGACCTCAATCCCATTGAAAATATGTGGCCAAGAATATTGAAGAGATTTATGGTCAAAGAATTCCTCATAAATATTATTTATGTCAGAAATGTGAGAATATTTGATAAGCTTTCAAATGAATCTAGCTTTGTTTATCTAACCTTGCATAATTGTTGAGAGATGTGATTTTTTGTGCGCGCCTTTTTTGAACACACACTGTATGATAAGTTTATGTACACAAAAGATCATTAAAATACGTTAAATAAATACTAAATTATCCAGAAAGTGTGTGCAAAATTTGACGGGCATGAAAATGTTGATATTTATAAAAATAATTTACAAGGAATTTTTCGTTTCGTCCGTTGCCCTTTTAAATTAAATTTGATTGATAGTATATGATTTATACAGTAATTGTTATTATGTTATTATTAAGAGGAAAAATAAATGAAAAATGAATTATTTCAGAAAGAAAAAACATTGCTTATTTTGTATTTTCAATGTTGTTTTTATTAATATTTCTGTATTTATTATTTATAATAATTTTAAAAATTTGTGCACTCAGCATTTCTTAATTGAGCTATTCTAACATATAATAAATTTGTAGTTAATAGCTTTGATGCATGTAACCTTCCATTTATCGATTTTTTTTTTTTTTGTAATTAAATTTCTTATTGAAATCTTTAAATTAATTTTTATTGTATATAAAGCATTTACCGAGTGAAAAATAAATGTACGTCTCTTCTAAGTTTAATTAAGATTAGCACTTATTAATATTATATTTACATATTCACATTTCATATTCGTTCCTCAAATAATATGAATACGTCAAAATACATTTTATTATAATTAAAGGGTTTAAAATTTTTATTTATTAATTAATCAAGAGTTAAATTCAAAGCTGATGATTGCGTAGTTACCCATTAATTAGGCTTAATTAATTCCAGATTAAACTTGCGATTAATTAATTGTGGTGGTGTTAATATTTACTTTTTTTTTTGTTTTTAGTTATAAAAAAAAAAAAGGTGATATGACGGATATAAATTAAATTGAAATGAATGGATGAAAATAGTCAAAATAGTAATACATATGTAAACTCGATAGTCTGACGCAGCAATCAATTGTTTAAAGTACTCGATAATATAAATAAATAAATGACCAGTTTACATAATTAATATGTATTATACAATGCCGATCCTTTAAAATTATCTATATACCTATTAATTTAATAAGCCGATTTGATTAAACCGAGATGAATTCACGGGACAATCTTGTCAAAGGTTACATCTAAGGTCCCCTTTCGCTTTTTCCGTTTAAGGAAAAGAAATGGTTAGAATTATAAGGCTTCTTTGTGTTGGAAATCCAATTTCCATTAATATATCTTAGAGAAAATAAAAGTATTTAAATCGACGACAAAATCCTTTTTCTTTTTTTACAAATCAAAATGGAGAGTTATAAATATGCCGTTGATGCCTGTATTCGATGTAGTATTAAGCAAATCAAATGCGACAATAAAGAGGTCTGTGATCATTGCAAAGGGACAAAAAATGATTGTCATCGAAACAAGACCGTGAAAAAAGAAGCCAAAAGATATCAAAGACTGAATAGATCATACAAACGCTTTCGTAACCAATGTAAACATAATATTCAATATTTCATATTTAATTGCTAAATTTTTTTTAAAAAAAATTAATTTGTTGTTTTTGATTTCTCAAGTTGAAACACTTCATAAACAAATTTTACAAACCAAAACTACTGACGAGCAGGAAATGTTAAATCGATTATTAAATCTTAGCAATCAAGGTAAACAAAACCTTCAATTTTAAATATTTGCAAATTTAATTTAATTTGCAAAAAAAAAAAAAAAAATCAATTCTTTTAATTTTTGTTTTTTGATTTCACAAGTCAAAGCGCTTCATCATCAAATTTTACAAACCAAAACTATTATTGATGAACAAAGAATTTCAAATCCATTATTGAATCATTATTTTAACAAATTTAATTTTGGTAATAATAACAAAGGTAATAAAGTCTTTAATATTTGCATATTTACTAAATTTTTTCAGAAAAAATTAATTCATTTTAATTTGTTGTTTTTGATTTCACAAGTTAAAGCACTTCATCAACAAATTTTACAAAACATAACTACTATTAATGAGCGAAGAATGTCAAATCTATCATCCAATTATTATTTTAAGAATAATAATCAAGGTAAACAAACAAAGTATTCAATATTTGCACATTTACGTTAAAATTTTTTTAAAAAAATTAATTCCTTTTAATTAAAGCACTCCATCAACAAAAGTTAGAAATCAAAACTACCAAAAGAGAGCAAGAAATGTCAAATCTATTATTAAACGATTTTAGTCATAATAATAATAATAATTCCAATATCAACAACACCGATTTATGAATTAAGAATAATATTTTTAGCTTAAAAAGCTTTATGAAAATAAAACATTAACATGTTTGTGTAATTATAGTAAATAATGTATATTTTTCATGTAACATTTATTAATTTTCTTAAAAATAGTGATTGACGTTGAAAAAAAACAAATAAAAAATAAAAATGGAAGTAATAATAAAATCAAAAATAAATAATAACAAATAAATTCGGTTGTCCTCCCTCGTCAAATGACATGAACAGTCTTAAACTTTTTGTCTCACTATTGTAACAAAGTTTGACATATAGACTCTTTGTCTTCGAATTACTAAATTTGAAAACGAAATTTCTATTTTCTTTATCAATTTCCCCACATTTATAAATAATTGCCATTTTTATTTTTATTTTTATTTTTATTTTTATTTTTGCTATTTTTTCTGAATTTTTAATAACATACAACTCGCGTAAAGTAATACCATATGCAAGTTTAGATATTTAATGTAAAGTTGAAAAATAATCTTAGCCTTTGAAGTAAAAACGTAGCATTGTTTGAATGGCTGTATCTCTGAATAGAGAGCTTCTTTCAACATAAAAAAAAGATTCGTTAGAAAGATTTAGTAGTTTAGTTTTTGCTTTACTTTAATAACAAAGTTCAAGCTTATTATGAAAATAAATTTTATGACGTTTGAAATGTGCGGTCTACGTAAGTTTTTTTATTATTCGGAGATTAAATGAACACAGTACAGTGCCGGTCACAAGTACACATCCAATTGTTTCAATTTTAAAATTTTGATGATCTTTCCAAAATAAGCAATAAACAAAATTTA